TCCAGTCTTTACTGGGTGTGCTGTGTATAACAGAACCAGATCTCCTCCATTCATACGTCCACTCAGTGCTTTCTCCTCCCTGGACCTCACATGTCAGAGTGATCGTCTCACCACTGAACATCTGAGACCTGTTTGGTTTTTGAGTCACAGCAACCTTGTTGGAAACTGTTTGCATCAGAACAGAAATTAGTCAAATTAGTTGAGATTTGAATTACTAGATTTAGTTGCTGATAGTTTTCATCAACAAACTCACAGGTTATCTCCACAGTGACCTCAGAGCTTGAATGTGTGTAGAAGTCTGGGTTTCCTCTCACTCCTTCACACCTGTAGATTCCTCCTTGTCTCACAGTGATTTCTTTGCTTTCTTTCGTATTTATTCCTATTTGCACTTCAGAGGTGTCTGAGGTTCGTCTGAACCATCTGTATTTCCAACCAGCAGAGGTCTGTACAGAGCAGCTCAGTATCACATGGCCTCCTAATGGTATGACTGTTGGACCTGCTGTCAGTGTGGCTCTGGGTTTATCTGCTGCTAAAAAAATCAACAATTGGTCAATTTTAAATTCAACATTTAAGTAAGTAATTGTTTCTGTAAAATATATGTAAAAACTCAGAAGCAGAGAAATTAAAGTCTATAGACTGAAGAATTACTGAAAATAAATCAATAATGTAGATTCTGTTTATATGACTTATTGAGGGAGTGGTGCAGAGTATCAACCATAGAGTGAACAACCAGCCCAGCCTACTGTTAAACTTTATTAAATGAAAGTTGAAGTATTGAACTTTTGGGCCAATAAATGTATTTTAGCTCCTGATTTTCTGCTCTGAGGACAAAGAACTGGACCCACAGGGTTCGGTCCAGCTCACATTAAGGTTATCTTAGTCGAGATCCAAGATATTTTAAAACAGACATTTTATTCACATAATTATAAAGTCCTAAATGATTGTTGTTTCTCACCAGCTGATGACAGAGCAATTAGTTCAATAACATTAAATGACATGATGTCAACTTGTTAATAAAACTAAAAACCTCTAAAGTATGAAAACAGAAACAGAGCAGTGCAAGTTGTAAGAATTCAGCACATCAACCATTCAGAGTAGTAATTATGTAACAGAGGGT